AACAAGTTAATTAAATATGCTCGACAGACAGACTCATCGACTTAGCAAGCTTTGATTCATGTTCAAATTCTTAGTCTCATACTAACTATAATATAATTATATTATTAATATTAATATCAACTTCTTACTTAATTTATGCCGTCTTTTCAGTGGCAAAATACCCGAGCTATTTAAAACCGTATGCACATATTAATTTATTAGCTATATTTATATTTTAACATACTTAGTTTACCTACTACATACACATATACAAATCAATCAACGACGCCTCTCCTTTTCCCTATTCGGTATTTGTTTAGTAAAATTTATGATGAAAAATTTGTAAACATGAAATCAATTATGAAATGAAAATTTTGGCAGTTATTATGTGTATGTGATTATGTGAGTGTATCCAACAATAGGTGTGTGCGTGTGAGTGCATGCAGAAATGGAAACCAAAAGCTATTTTAAGCAGCGGAAAGGATTTTATGCTCCACAGAGCAAGACTTAGGGAGGGCGTGTGTGAGAGTGAGAGGCTATAAGTCAGTGGACTGCTGCCATCTCACTCTAATGCTCACATTCAAGGCAAGCAGCTTCTCCTCTATCGCTGCTCGCTCTTATCAACCCTCTTCTATGCATATGCTTCTTACTTAAGAGAGCTTTTACAACATACATATATCTGAAGTTCAAGTGCAAGAGATGCGTGGCGGCGGCCTTTTTGATCGTGAGAGACAGCCGGGCGAGGCAATGGACGGCAATGGCTACGTGAGCTGTTACGTGTTTGCTGTCAAATGAACAGTTAACAGGCACAGAAATTCCATTGAGAATTCCAGTGGAAACAAAAGACAATACGGTAACATGAGAAGAAAGCGAATTCGATTTCAAAACAGAATTGGATTTTGCGTCGAGTTGAGCTAAACGCATAACGAAAGAGGTTAACAAAACGGAATGTGCAATCGCACGTATGTGTGTATGAGTATACAAGCACAAGCACACATACACGCACGCACACACACACGCACACATGTTTATAGGTATTAAACGCGTTTTAGTATCAATACCCTACGGCACTCCCCGTGCTTTGCCTTCATCGGTGCAGCAAACTGGTATACGAAGGCGAAGAAGAACAACTGGGACTGGAGGCACAAATTAATTTCACTAAATTTCGATAGGCGACTCCCCACTCAGCGCACACACACACTCATGCACACTCACGATTTACAAAAAAATTATGTTTGACATTTATTTTGTGCTAAAAGCAAAGAAGACATGCGAAAATTTTCATAGGAAACATGGCTCAAAGGCGCAAATAACAAAATAATGGTATATGAATATGTGTGTATGTATATATGTGAGAATCAACAGTGAAAGCCGCCTAAGGCGGATGTGATGACAGTTAGTTGTCCTGCTCAAAGATCAAATAATATACAGAACAGAGGTTAGAGGTGAATGTACAGATACACATATGTATGTATGTATGAATGTATGTACATATATGTTAATGTTCATGTATGTAGGCGTAAATACATTTGTATATCAACACATGCTTCGAGCATGAATAACCGTAGCGGAAAAGGTAGAAATAAAGGTCTCTGATATGCATATGCGTATGTATATTTACGTTGTCTTATCAGACAAATGGCTTTTCTTATCAGCAATATCTTGGAAGAACCAATTTTAAGAGAGCCGATACACACACACTTGCATGCTGACATTATATATATACATGTATGCATGTATCCCAGTATTGGTATTTGCATGATAATTGCCACATTTTTCGGCAAAAACAATATTTAAAAATGAAAAAAAAAATAAATAAATAAAATAAACCGAATCGCGTTTTGAGTTTCAAGTCAAATTTATATTTTTATTGCCGCCTTGCACTTTTTTGCAGTAACAAAATTGGTTCGTGGTGTAATAAAAAGTTAAAAACGCAAATACAACAAAAACGTAGCTGGAAACACGTTGTTTACGTTTTGGCAGTCAAAATGGGGGAAATGTGCGAGCAAAGAGAGGGTGAGAGAGAGAGAGCGCGCACGCGAGCACTCACACACTGTTACATGAACATTCCACTCTCCAAGCATGTAAGCAGCACGCGTGTGTGTGTTATAAGAGAAGACAAGAAATGTTTTGGGCTTTTTTCACGACGCCGGCAGCGACAGAGCGTAAAATCAGAGCTGTGCCCGTTTCTGCTTACCTTGCAACATCCTCATCGACATTGTGCTCGCGTCGTAATCTAACGGGCGGCACTGGAGTTGCTGGTGGATCCGCAGTCGTTGGTGTTGTTATTGTTGCTGACTCTGCAGCAAAAGTAGGAGATGGGCCTGTAGCTGAAGCGGGAGAAGGAACTGGAACTGGATCTACGGGCAACTCCACCGCTGGCGCCGTTGGCGATATTCCCGACAGAGTTCCCAAAACCGCCTTATTTGACATTTGCGTGAGGTACTCAATAGTGCGCACTCTTCGTCTATTGTGTGACATTTTCTGTTGTTATTGTTGCTGTTGTTATTATTGGTTGCGGTCTTCTTGGAATTTCTCAACAGCCGACCAACACATGCACAGCCAGTGCTACTCACGCACGCACGCACACACACACACACATACACTACGTCACATATATACACATACACTCATGTATACATATATTAGCACACGTTCTTTTCACTTTTGTTGTTGCTCACGCTGGTGCTAATCGAATTTATTTAAATTTTGTACTTTCACAGCGCAGCAACGCACACGCGCGCACATAACGGAAGCTTTGATTCGAAATTTTAAAGTTTTTCCTTCGACTAACCGTGGCAATCAGGTGACAACGACGACGCGTCTCACCTGGGCAAAATTGCGGTCTTAACTGACGGTGTGACCGTTTTTTGTTAGCCATAAGATCCTCATAAGAAATGCAACCGGTGACCGCATCAGCTGACCGCAAAATTTAAGAAAACAACATTAAAAGAACGCTAAATATTGACTACGTAAAGACTATGTATATTAATTTCGGTTGAATAACAGCTAACACGAACATATATTTAATATGGGCTGACGTGTCATTTATAAAATGCAACAGTTAGTTTGTTATTGTTTTGTGTGAATATGAACGGGTTGAGAGTGCTGCCAGACTAGTGTAAGCAAATGGTGTATTAGCTCATAAAAGACTGTCTGCTATAAAACTTGCGCGCATTTATTTCGATATAGGTGTTTAAGCACTGGTGTTCAAATTAAAGCTGCTAATTAAATGATTGTAATTAAATTAGAAGATGGCATCAAATCAACTCATGGCATAAACTTCAATGGAAATATTATGAATAGGAGGTGTACTACTTGTGTAAGTCATTCATGATAAATGCCTGATTGCACGCACCTTGCACCTTCGAATGACCTTTCAGCTGCGTTGCTTTCGCGCTCTTGTTTGAAACGCTCGGGATGTACACACTGGCGATCATATATCAAAGTTGTTAATTACATCTTCCGCTCCTAATGAAATTAGAATATGAAATCGAATTCAATGCAAATACCATGAGATAGACGCCCGAGAGGTGTAACAATATTTGAGTTAGCCTTGACTGCTTGGACTGATAACCAGTTTGTTTTTCACAGGTGTCACACACCTTACATTAGTGTCCAATAACCATAATAAATACACACACAAATACACTGAGCGACGTCAGCTGGCCATTCTGTTTGCCCGACAAATTAGTTGCAGCTCAATAATTGAGCCGTAATGTGACTTGGCAGCTGCCAGCCCACTTCTCGGGGCCGATGCCTTTGTCCAATTTATTCAAATATAAAATACTCAAACAAGAAAAGATAAATACAAAAATATATAGAAATGTGAAGATGCGCAAAAATCCTACAAATTCGCATGTTTTCCCAATTAACACACTTTTTCCCCCATTGATTCATAAAACAAATACATATTTATCTTGTATATATGTGAAGATCTTTTTTGTGTTTGAGTTTCACTTTTATTTACAAAGAAATTGAATCATATTTCTCACTTAATTTTAACGGTATTCCACCTAGCCTGGCAACAACTACATATAATATATATGTATGTATGTGTGTATATGTCACATATTTTGCCAACTTTTATTGATAAGTTTCTAACGTTAGTAGGCTGGTTAGGTCAGATAACCGTTATCGACATATTGCTTTCCTATATTCATATGTACATATTTTGTTATTGCAAAAACAAAAAAACAAGTAACAACAACTTGTTCTGATAGTCATGATCAAAGAGTTCGCATTGTCATCGGAATAATATGATGAGTGCTTCTATTCATTGAATACGTAAACGAAAAATTCCCAATTTCCTTCATAAATACATATTGTTTTTTTTTCTTTTTTTTTTTTAGAGAAATTATAAAATATATTTATTTACAGCTTAGCGCACCGCTACCTAATTGGTAACTTAATCTAAACAGATATTTATAAAAATTTATTTGCTTAAAAGCTATATTAATCTTAATATTATATGCATATATTCTTGTCAAATCTGGAGGTGTTAGGTCAAGACCCCATCCAGTAGGTCCTTGGGGTGGTGGCGTTTCAGTCCTCTCCTTTTATTTCTGCGGTTGACTGCAGAGCCTAGTCGTCTGGCCAAGCAATTTGCAAAAAAAAAATCCCAAGATTCTCTCTCTCTCTCTCTCTCTTTCTATCACTGTCTCTCCTCTGTTTTTATCAGACTCTCTGTTTATGTTTAGCGGTTTCATGTTTTGCAACAAAAAAACAAGAGATTCACTATATATTTATTTAAATTGGAGAAATGAAAACTTGTTAAATAAATAAAAAAATGTGTAATATATTCGAGTGCAGCAATGCTTAATGTTTGTCAGTGTAATTAACAGTCACTATCACAAAAACGGCGTTGCCAGATAGTTAAATAGGGCAAACTGATTGCACTGTGTGCGTGAATCAACGACCTGTTGCTCTGTTGTTAGTGCTACAATTTTGTTAGCTTGCCCCTTCCACATGGTGACGAGTGGATTTCTCTTTAATTACATGATAGCAGCAAACAAAACAAATGATTATCACTTAAGCACAATCTGCTCCATGTATATTTTTATACATAAATAAGTGTGTGTGAGACAATATTTTATATGCGTGGGCGTCGAAAAACACACAAAGAAATACTTAAGGTACGCACACATAAGAACGTGCATGTACATGTGTACGTCTGCATAGAATAGCCCAATTCTTCAATTGCATGCACAACTACTCGCTCACTGGTTAATTCACTTGCTCGTTCTCTCTCCCGCTCCAGGCTGTCAGTCCAGCTAACGTATGGGCAAATGAGTAAAAGAGCGCCAGAGCGTTAGACCACTAACGTAAGCGAGAGCATTACGTTAATTTGCGCTCACGAGCAACATATGACGCCCGATCGGTGCTGTCTCTGTCGCTGACGCTGACGTCGCTGCTGTCGCTTGGAGCGCGCTGGGCTGGAGTTCGGTCAGTCAGTTGTTATCGAGCGTTACTTGAAGCTGGTTGGCTGACTGTCCCGTGCCAGGCTGTGTGTTGTTGTTAGTGTTAGTATTTAGTATTAGTCGATTTAGTCGTGTGTACGCGCTGCGAAAATCTGAGCAAACGCCACCCACCCCCACCCTCTCCTGCACCGCTCTCGTTGTCGCCGCCGTCATCATCATCATCGTCGCCGTCGCCGTCGCCGTCAGCCTCGCCGTCGCCGCCGCCTTCACCGTCATCTTTGCTGCCTGTTTTATTTGTGTGAGTGAACCAGTGACTACCAAAAAAAGAAAAAAGCCAAATAATAAATAAAGAGGTTGCGTTTTAAGTACAATAATTACACACACAGAAACCGTGCATAAACAGTCACAGCTGAAGCTTAGGTTGTTGCTAAGCGTCGCAGCATCTGCAACAAGAAAACCTACAATTATTAATTATACATATATTTATGCCCACACACACACACTCACAGTTACATGTGTATGTTGTCTACATTTTCATTGTGCTGCATAAGCGAGACACAAACGGCTCATTGTCTCGCGAAAAAAATCTCAAATGAAAACAGTTTTAAATAATAAATAAATAATTTTTGTAGATAAAAAACACAACGTCAGCTGCAAAAGATCACGAAATGCGGTACACGCGTTGTCGCCTGTTGTCGCTTGACGTTGTCGCAGACGGAAAACAAATTCAGTTTCAGACACACACACAGACCTATTTACACATGCACACCTACTCACACATTCACAGACATACACCAGCATGCGTCGCTTGAAAAGCCGCACTGGAGATTTGCACAAGTGCAAAGACAAAACGATTTATTTGGGTTCCTCATATTTTGCCTTGTCTAAAACCGTTAAATACATTATTAACAGTTCAAGTTAGTCAGCACTGTGCACACACATGTAAACTCATATGAACAGAGCGCGTACAGAGGCTGCGCAGCCTAAACCGAATGAAACGAAGAGCTGATACTATAAGAGTTAGATCATTTTATATTAAACAGAATGCATGATTACATTACATGTGCTGTACAAGTTGACCTAAAAGAGAGGTCCTACAAGAGAGCACGGAATGTTTGTAAGTGTGGATATGTGTATGTACATATGTATATGAATATGTTAGGTCTGTCCTCAAAGAGAGGAGTCTCAGTGCATGCATATGTGCTGAAAATGTCCTAAAAAGAGACAGGGGATATTTTAGGCACATTACTACTATAATTATACATACTTACATACACATATACATACCTATTTGATATTAAAAATAAATATATTATTTATGATGATTTATATATAAATTGACAAAGTATACTAAATAATTATATTATTATGGAAATCTTAACTCAACTTATGTATATATACCATAAAATTGTGAAAGATCGCAAAAATAAATAAAACAATTGAGTTATAGTCGAAATATAAATCAACAATATTTCCCGTTTCCAATAAAAACATATGAACGATCGGCGTCAAGTGAGAGTGAAGTGAAATATTTATTATTCAAATAATATGAAAATATTGTTATATATATGTATGTTTATATTATATACTTAGATAAGTTTACGTCTTTATACGCAGATTAATCATAAAGACCAAAAATAACTACGACAACAACAAAAGACGCGGAAATGGATTATATTGTGAAAGCTTACAAGGACTGGAAATTGCACTCGCAAGTAAGTAGAAAAAGTATATGTATATACCCTTCCAGTATATATAGAGTAGCGAGTGATTAAGCTATAAAGAGTGCTTGAAAGACTGCAGTAAATTCTTATACAAAATATGTATGTACATATTTTTCCTTACTCGTCCGAGAACGGAACACATTATACCCACTTTCTCAGTAGCTACAGGGTATTTAAATTATAAATTATATTTAGAGATCTTTGGGGTTGAGCTAGGTTAGGTTACAAATTACACGAATTTAAATGGTATTACATTAAATTCGTTTTCACGTTGTTGGTTGACTAGAAAATATCCTCTGAAATAGATGGAACTACATAGATCAAACTGGCTGCAAGAAACTAAGAAAACTTATATTTGTATGTATGTATATCAAATATATCTATTGTGAAAAGTATTCTTGACGCGCTATGAACATATAAAAGATACCCAATGAAATGTTTTATATTTGACTGTCTTGCAGGGTATTTTATGATTCGGTAAATCAGAGTTTATCTTCTAGATTAGCTTAGGTCTAAAATGTCATCTGAGTGCACCAAGATTAAGCAAACACACAAAAGATCGCAAATTGCCATAAAAACGAAATCGAATTGAGAGCACATTTCTGCCAAATGATTATACGTATATACCTATATATATATTTTATGTATATATATAAAACTGTACACATCTACATACATATATATTCGTTTATAAGAGCCACGCTGTGAAGTCATGGCAGTTCCTCGTGGCCGTTAACTTTTGTGGGCTTAAAGAGTACAAAAAAGTTATATGTACATGTATATGTAAGTGTATGTCTGTGTGGATGTGTGGATGTGGGCAACAATCATGTCAGACAAAGTCAGACTCAGATCTATTCAATACACACACACACAGAAGCAGAGAGACTGCAGAAACTGTTGCTGAGGCCCCTGTCGAGGTGCTTAACCGCATTTAAAAATATATTTTTTTACCAAGATCAGTTGTTGCTAAAGCCGCAGCAAGAGACGCAGCAACAGCAGCAGCAGCAAAGCACAAAATAATAAATAATTCTCTTGAAATACGATCGTGTCGAAATCTCGCATTACCCAAGAAAAACCACTTTGAATGGAACGTTACCTTTTGCTATTTGCTGTGTTTAAATACCCTGTAATTGTTGAGCAAAACCAGCAATGCAGTCTCAGTGGACAGAGAAAACTGAAAATTGCACAAAATATCTGTAGATATGAATCGATTATAAATAATAGCTAATTAATTTATAATATTGATATATATTTATGCGTAGGCCAGCTTCACTAAGAGTCATTGCCGACATGCTAGCCCAATAAAGTGAGCTTTCCATTGTCAAGAACTCCCGTTGTTTCATCATAGCTTGTTGTATGGACTGTTGTTCGTGCATGTCGATAAATATCGATATATAGAGAAGTCGACATATAACTTGCCCTGCCATACTTTATAGCATATTTATTGAGGTAGGGCTTACAGGGCATCTGTTAGCTGGGCATTGTCAACATGTATAAAAGTTTTGCAAACGCCACCAAAGTGTGCAGCATGGCTTTGGCTATGGCTTCAACTCTGGCTGCGACTGCGACTACGACTATGGCTGTGCGCCGGCTGCTAGTGCGGATCGTAGCCAGCGAACCAGGCGATGAGTAAGCCAAGAGGCACCAGCGAAAAGCTAACAGCCAACAGACAAGGGGCAAGAGGCAACAGTCAGCAATCGCACATCTGGCCTAAAGCAAAAAGGCAACAAGCCAGCCAGTCAGCCACTCAGAGAGTCGGCCAGTCAGCAATGCGGCCAACTTGCGAGACTCTGTCTGAATTGCAAATGAGTGCAACGAGCGAATAAAATAAAAGCCAAATGCATTTATGCACGTTGTGTGTGTGCGTTGCCACTTCTTGATATACCCTATACGCACAGTGAGCATGGGACCTAAAGTATATAAAGATATACTATAGATGCCTTACCGGTGAAAAATAGTGGCCCAAGTTATTGGGATTGCCCCTTCAAAGCTGAGTCACACTAAGATTCTGATGAAAGCAAAGCAGACTTAGATACAGCTAGATATGCCTGCTCATCGGACAGAGTATTGTGCAATTGAGTGGACCCGATTGCAATGGATTTTGTGGCTGTTGCCAGTTTTATTGCTAATTAGGCCAAATCACATGATAAGCACACAAACTCGCAATTGCAATTTGTACGTTTCATTGTTGGTTCGGTTGCCTGGAGTGCGTCCGATATGCGTTCTATAAATATCCTTAGCCTTGGGCTGGGCCCGCACCTTCGCTGGGTTCAATGGCCAAGCCTTCAAGCCAACTTGACGCGCTAAGAACCTGGCCCTGGGCCGGTTTTACTTAGCTTTGCCCAAGTGGACGCCATTTTGAAGAGTTTTTTCTTTTGACGCTTCGCTAGAGGTCCAAAGCGCTCGCATGCATACAGTGAATGCTCACTTTTCCTTTCAGCATTGAGGATGCGACACTCAGAAATAGATTAGAAGTAACTTTAAAGTGCCACCTCTAGCGAGTACTCCACGAGTACTTGCAGTTCCCCTTAGCGAGTACTCACTGTGTACACCTGGTTCTGCCCTTTCGGAATGCACTCAATAGGCAAGTGTTATATCACTACTTAGCCAGAGACCTTTCGGCATTTCAATTAGAGCCATGGGGTATTCAGGGCTATTCGGGGCTATCAAATTATTCAGTGCGTAAAGTCAGTCAAAACTATTTCCATGGTAATTTATTAGCTTGACTCTGATACAGCTGTATTAAGGTGGGCGTCGGCTGACTCAGTTTAAAGTGGAGAAGGTCATGTCAATAGGGTTTTTATTTATCTGTAGTATCTCCAAAGTGAGAGCCGCGCTTTGTGTTTCCTGTTGCAATTCCTGTTTTAGCCAGTTTGCTGGGCATTATCTTTGACGTATTTGTTTAATGACCAATTTAGCCATATTTATTTTTTTTCTCCCCTTCAACCGGTTTGGCATGCTCGCAAAAGACAAAACGACAACAAAATCATTCTAAAGCTTACATTTGAAATACAGTGGGGCGTGCTTTAAATGTAAAATTAATCTGAAATATATAAAACATCAAATTACAATTTTGTATTTGTGTTCAGCTTAGGTAGAGTCTGCTGTGATTCTGTAGAAAATAAAGAGAACGGTGAACTGGAGGATTAAAAGCAACAAATGTGAGAAACATCATAATTCATCTCTTATATTTATGACTTCTAAATAAGTGTGTATTCACTTTAGCGAGACTTTGCTGTAGTATTCAGTAGGCCTCGATATTGTTATCGTAAGCCGATCATCAAAGACATTCGAACTAATTTGGCAGTTATCATATTTTCAACTGCCTTGAGAAGAACCGATGGAATATAAATATGAATGTGAATGTATGCATGACTGTGAGTGCGAGTGTGAGTGGGAATGTGCATGAGTATCAATGCCATAAACGTGTCTTTTTTACTGAAATTCCAAGCGATACCTTTTCTTAATATATATTTATACCTATGTATATCTCTGTCTATTTATCTATTTGTCTCCTTCTCTCAGTAATTTGCACTGTTTCTTTAAAGCGTTTTGAGAAATTCGCTTTGTTTAATTATTGCTCCAATATGGAATCGAGATTGGCTATAAATAGATAGAGGCAATCTAATCTCTGGTCTACTTTAGCCAATACAAACTGCGAAGTTAAATTATAATAAAGTATATATCAACAGTTCAAGAAATCGTCGAACTCGACCGATCCAAAGGCAAACAAAACTAAAATCTTGGCAATAATCAATCAAAAACTCAAATGAAGATTGATTGTTTATATCTGAATAAATATTGCTATGTATATGTGAATATATATAAATGGAAATGTATATACCAGTTATTGTGGAGTTATTGTAAAAAGCTAACGGCAATCGCATATAATTGAATTTGTTGTTAATCGCAGCAAGTTTATGGAAATACGATAGAAATATACAAATGTATATACATAAATCGAGTTGTTAAGCAATACTACAAATTAACAAGCCAATGAAGAATGAAGAATTCAGATTTGCTAACAATAATCGATGTTTTTGTCATTATTTCCAGATATCGATATGTCTGTATTTTTGCGTTACGTATACCCCTCGTGTTTCTCTCTCTCTCTCTCTCTGTCTCGAATACATTAAAAAACTGATAAACATTATTTATAATATTATTGATAGATGTATTATTCCTGCCTAAGTTCCCATACGTTTGATATATATTGGTATTTTACGGCCCGGTGCAACTAGGCGTTCCGTCAAAGGGAATTTATACTTTGAAATATTATAGAAGTCACGTTGAATATTTTTTGTTGCAGCACGTAACAGATGTCTCCAGTAATGGGTAGTACGTAGTAGCGCTCTATACGTACTATATACTATAGCTAGCGTATACTGTGAAGAGCGCATGTGTGCTTAACTAGTGGATGACGTTGCCCTTCAATTGAGCAAACTGAAAGCTAAACACCTTAATCAACAGAAGCATATAGAGACATATTATATATGCTCGCTCGCATCATCTGAAGAGTACTTAGAAGCCATCCATTTAATTTATCAGAAAATATATGTACACGAAGCTATATAAATAAACTTAATACCCCTTAAGATTGTGGCACTTGGCTGTTTGGCATGGGGCTTTACACTTTCAAGTGCAACGCGCGGGCTACACAATTGATATGGCGGAACGAGTTGAGCCTGATGTATAGAGTGTCGGCAAAGTGATCTGATATAAGACCCGACAATTGATAACAAACATGATGTAGCAAAGCTCTGCTCGCCTAGAACCGTCTGTTTCCTGGCATTACGAGGCAGGTGTGCCAGTGCCTCAAGTACAGGTACAAGTCCATTGCTCGCTGAGTAATGATTCGACAATCTCTGTAGTAGCTTTCTGCAGTAGATACAAGTCATTATCAATTAATTAAACATGTTAGGCGGAAAAGAATTAGAGATGAGACCATTACTGACTTATCGATAGATTAAGCCTATGTTCTATTTGTATTTTGTATAAATGATGCAGGTGACAAACATTATATTTCTCTAAGTATATATGTACAATGCTTATATTGAAAGAAACACGACTTATAACACGAAATCTGACTCGTGTCACGCTTGCAGCTCCCCTAGATATCCGTTCTTTTAGCAATTAGAAACTGGAGAAGTGGTACGCCCATAAATGTAAGCATTAGTGATGGATATCGAAATTTAATTTACGCCACCTTCCGAGAAGCATAGTTTATTATTATTAAGTTAAATATCAGCTTTGTCATATCCAAGAATTAGAGATGTCCTCTTGACAAAAACTCCAACTCTCACATAAATACAGTTTGCATTGTTGTTGGGCAACAATTGAATCTACTGGTAGATAATGCACAGTTGATATAGACACGAAAACTGATTAAAATCCGAAATCAACAACATCGTGTCACGCACACAGCTCTATCATAGATCTTGCCTTACACCACAATTGGACTTCGTGTGTGTGTGTGTGTTAATAAAAACGTTCCATTTCGCAGTTGTCATGCATAATAATAATAATAACAATATCTAAATTTATATGTGTAAAGCTTCTTATATTTGAGTCACGTACGATTTGGTTCAGTATTTTCGTTTTCGTTTTCGTTTCGGTTGTTTTTTGTATTTTTATCAATTTGCAATTTCCTATTTTGTTAATTTTAATTAATACTAAAGATAGTGCGACGGCTAAACAGAAACAGTGACTGCCATAAAGTGTACCTCAAGTGTTACTTCAATTTGACCTTCGTCTAATAATTTGTGTGCGCTTGCACGAATCCATAAATTTCTGACATACTTACATAAACAACAACCAAAAAAACAACGATAGCAGCAACAAATTCGAAGTAGATTTCAAGCGATATCATTAAATTTATGGCATTTTCCATACGAATATTTATGTTAGTCACTGTTGAAAGCCGATTTGATTAGCAAACTTTACCGATTTCGACTCCGGCTCTGTTATCGATCAGCTGCAATTAGCTGAGACTGACCTTCGCGCTCGATACGAGTATCTCGGAGGAGTTCTCGAACTTCTTTGGTCGTCGCCACGTCGCGTCGTCCATTCCTACTACTGAGTCACATGCATCGCATGCCGTCTTGTCTGACACTTTCATTTAGCAACTCTTTTGGCTGTCTAAATTTGGGCGAAATCACACACTTGTCTTTTGATAGACATAAACAATTAAATATTAAACAATTATCACTTTCGGCCCGCAGCCTGTCGTCTGGTCTGCAATCACTGAAAAGTCCCCTTTTTCATATACCCATTAAAGGTGAACAGAAATGGGAAAAACCTCTATTTAATAAAACAAATGCTTTGTCGTAAGGCATTTAATAACAGCTAGAGACTCATAAAAGTGTACTTTTAGGCCAAACCCGATTAGATCTCATTTTGTATTTATAATATAAACTGAGAGATATATAATATATAATATATAATATAAATATATTTGACAGTATGAATTGTAGATACGTTTTGTATTTGTATCCGTATACGAGCATATAAAATTAATTTCGATCTATTTGGACTCATTAATTTGCGACAATCGATAACATTGTCGATAGCAACTATTTGCCGCATTTCTAGAAATATAACTTATTATATGTATATATTATGATAATGTAGGGTATCTACTAGTCGACTTTTTTTTTTTTGCATTGATTAGTTAGTTTGTGTTTACCATTTCAATTATGATTGTAATTAAAAACGATCGCCATTGAGCGAAGTCCCCTGATTTGATTCTTTTGTGGGTGGCGATTGCTCATCAAGAGATCAGTTGCCCACAGCATGAACAAATATAACATACGATATATATGTTTGTATAAACATCAATATATATATAATATGTATGTCTAGAGATCCGTATATATGTATGCGTGTGTATATCGAAATCCCATTGAGGGAAACCCGGCGCGTGACTAGCTTCTGCGATTTGTGTATGTCAATGACCGTTTTTTCTGTCTATTCCAAATCGATGCGAAATTTAGGTGAAACTGATTTGTATTGTCATCTATGATAGTCGCTGGATGGGAAGTGCTTATCAGTTGCGCTTAAAAACAGTTTTTATTTACCCTACATACAGTAAATTGCTGTCTCTCTCTTTTCCTCTCTCATCCAAACTCTTGCTTTCGCTTTTTCTTATGGCCGTTGTATACTGCTATTGCAGAAAACAGTTTGACAATAGTTGCGAGGAATTTGTTGTTGACTTTACAGGCACAATGTAAATACATACAGACATACATACATATAAATATGCAAACATTAATGACATGCATATGTATCTTTCTCTATGTATGTATGTGTGCTCTGTCTTGGAGGAAGTAATTGCGGCTCTGTTCTGTAAGTTGTCTTGCAATAATGCATTAATATTGCAAATCAAATATGGAGGTATCATTAATAAATAAAGTCACATGTTAATTGAAAGTCATGCCGGCAATTCGTTTCGAATAATTTCCATATGCAACCCAACAGACCAGCTGCTTTGTCTTTGTTGACTGCTAGCTGCTTGGTCAAACAGGTTTAAGCCTAACAACAACATATACAATGCACACATTGAAAGGCGCTTACGTTGGCCCAGCTATCACGTGAACAAAAAAAAAATTCTCTCTCGTAAGTAATAAAAACAAAAACAGTCGCAAATTAACTTTTGCACAAAACGAAAATCAACGCAAACAAAAACACGCGCTCAACGCTTACCATAGCAACTCTGTGCGCAGCATTGAGTGCAGCAATCGATAACACTTTGAGCGTGGATCTGGAGTAGCGATGAATCTGGCGTGACACGGGGTGCCAGCCACTTAAATGGGCCGCGAGCAAAAACTGTTTAACGTGCTTTTTATTGAGCATTAACAAATTTGTCACCTCTAGTATGCTTTGGTATTTTTGAGGTTTTCTTAATTGAGTGCTACGGGCACACTGACAGTACAATTTACAATGACAACAACTTGTAAACACGTAGTAAACGCAGCTGTAATTCAACGGCGCTGAAAAAAAACTAAGCAAAATAGAAAAAAGAATAACAATAATTTATTGCAACAATAAAAGCAAGTGAATTCACTTAAGGCGAACGATTGCGTTGCTTGAGTAAAATGTGTCTATAAATTGGTTGAATAGCTGCAACAGTATTAGTTTTGCTACAGTTTTCGGTTTCGCTTGGTTGCATTCACCGTTTCGAGGGAGTTCAGGTGAGTCAGGTGAGTGGGGCACCTCCAATGAACAAATCATAGAAATTGCTTGTGCGCTATTTATAATTATAGAAACACACTCACACATGTGTGTATTCGCAAGAGTAACGGTAAATCAATGACATCATAGCCACAGTTGCCAAAAACAAAAAAGCAAACAAAAACGAAAACAAAAAATGAAAACAAAAACGAAAAGAAAACCAAATATAGAAACAAGTGCAATTGTACATAGTTAATTAATACTTTCCCCCTTTCACTTTGCAGTTTCAAGAGATCGTGCCTGATATGGATGACAGCGAATTCATGTTCAACGAAAAACAATCGATACGCGACTCCTCACGCACCCTCAAGAAATATGGCAGCACCTGCTGCAACAATCTGAGAAACAATGAAATTCTTATACGACACACCGTGGAAAAGACGGACACACTGCAAGGAATTTCGCTCAAATACGGCGCCACGGTATGTAAACATCGATTGTAAAGTATCCTAATTGCTCTGTGGGGGCTAAATGAAATAAAAGTTATGGCGTGCCATAAAACATTGATTTCAAATGCATAACGTCGTTTATGCGAGGGCTGTACAATCAGTTTCTGAAAAGCTCCAAGTGAGTTGAAGGATGTGATATAAAGTGAAAACAATAAATTGTATATAATCTATAAACTATGCAAAAAGGGGTAAAATTAAAAAAAAAAAAAAAAAAAAATTCAAAACATTTAAGTTTGAATTATATACAAAATCAAATATACGTGAAGCAATGAGACAAATCACTGTCAAAGTTTAAAATTAAATAAAATGAGGGCGTATTATTTTATAATATCAGAAGGCTATATATATAGAATATATAGAAATAATCAGCCTACCCTCGCATACATCGCATATACTAATGCAAGCAACATTTCCCCAGCCAACATTTGATTTGTAGGTGGAGGCCCTGTAACTAGCAATGGCTTCTTTTTATAATCGTTCACAAAGGGAATAGAGAGTATATTGGCATCGTGTAATATACACATATCCGTTGAAAGTCGAAAGTAAATTTCATTTATATGCTCGTCTTATAAAATTATTCTAAAAGGGAAAATAAATGAAGAATACCATCGATTTTAAAATTTGTGAGTCTCCTGTTACACTATGAGCGAGTATTAGTCGGTCACTTTTCAGCTTGTTGGCTTTCGTTAGTGTCGTGTCGCATGCAAATTGTAGACAATTTCAAATGTCAGCTAACTTTCAACTTTATCGATTTAATAAGTAGACGGAAAGACCCAGTCAGTCGCTTGACATGGTTTAGACAAATAAGATAGCATTGGTTGGTGGCTGGGGGACGTTGGGAGAGGGCCCAGCAAGAGGAGGGGTTGGCTGCTGCACTGCAGCAGCGGGCGACCTACGACCGCTCGTCTAATTTCTTATCATTGTTTGAGTTTTGATTCTTATCAAGGAATTTTAAGCTAAAGGAAATTCTGCAGCCAAATGGGTCGACAGTTTGCTGCATATCATTGCTAGTATACAAAACATATATAGTATTTAGTATAGTATATACATATATATCATATAGTTAGATAATTAAGAATCTGTGTCAACATTTGATCAGCCAATGAAATGATAACAGGGAAAGAGAGAACTGAATTTTATATAAAGTGCTTAGCCTAATTAATCATCATCGTGATTCGGATTTGACAAAAACGAGTCGTGTCCACTCAGTCACCGATCAATCAATCAGTCGAGCAATAAGTCAATTAGATATCAATTTATAAGTTGCTAATATCTTAAGTGTATAGACTCATTTATTGGTAGCTTAAATATTAGCTTAGATATTGTTGTTTATTGATAGATATAATATTTGTATGCAAATATACATATAAGTATATAATATAATATTATATTATATAAAGCTTAAGAGGAAAGATTTTCTGAGATTCTCTGTGAGCTGAGGTGGCGTTCATTAGCAGAGCTTTCACTGTAATAGACAGATACGCTGCTATAGATTCCGCTTATTATAATTATACACAGATCAAATAACAATATTTATATATATATATATATATATATATATATATATATATATATTTCTTATATCCACAGACGGAACAGATACGTCGTGTCAATCGCCTCTACGCCTCGGATAGCCTCTTTTTGCGTCAGTTCTTGCTCGTGCCCGTGGAGAAGACGTCACCCTACAATTTGCAGGCAAATGGGGCTGACCTGCTGGCCGATGCACTGGCCTCGCCGCCCACCACGCCCGATGTGAATGTGCAGCGCGAAGCGTTGAACAATGCAAACAATTTGAGCCAAACAAATTGTTACAGCGGCAGCGGCAGTGGCAGCGGCAGCAGCAACAGCTGCAACACCAACATCTCGTCCAGCTCGTCGAGCACCCGTTCCGGCCAGCTGCACGGCACACCGCGTCCATATTCAATTGCCGGCGAGCTGCTGGTGCAGCCCGGCGATGAGGATCCAGCTCTAATGCTGCACAATCACAATGCCACGTGCAACACCAAGCAGAGCAAGTCCCTGGACTCGGTGGCCGCGATGACGCCCGAGGAGGAGAATCGCAAGTGCATGAATGATTTCCTCAACAAGATAGACAACACGATATCCGAGTCGCGCAAATATGTCGAACGTTCCAAGGAGTAAGTGTTAGAGACCCCCAAGAGACTTTTCTTCTTCTTATCATTTATTTAACCCTTCTCCGTCTCTGTCCCATCCAGCTTGGTAAATAGTCAAAGTGATGCGGACCTTTGCATCAGTGCCACAACGGACGTGTTTCCACAGCGTCGCAATCATCAGCTGAACAACTCCTACAAGAACAACAACCACAATAGCAGCAACAACAACAACCGTCCGTTGCACCACCAAAGGCACAGCTCGACGGGCAGCGGAAATTCGGATACGGCGCAGCTTCTGAATACGACGCAGACGCGTCGAGTGCAGAACTCCTTGAAGCGCCTGGAGAAGCAGCAGGATGATTTCTTCGAGTTGTAGCAGCTGAGCGAGGCGCTGCGTAGCATCAACCACGCGCTACGACATTACAATTAATTAGAATTACTGTGCGAATGAGAGATCTAACAAACAAGAGAACGAGACGAGAGAAAGTTCATTTTACAAATTGTTTTTAAATCTGCGGCGCAGCTCGAAACGCTGCACTAAATGTAAATTATATAAGTACAAGATGAGCAAAGAAGATAAAACAATACATACGTACACCTATATACTATATACCACATATATATGGATATGTTAAGCGCTACGCTATTTAAACCTGTACTATATACATATACACACGCAACATACTATCGTATAATGATAAATGATATCTATGTTATATTTTGATCCTATTGTTAGTCCAATTGTTCAGCCCTTTGTAATTGCCGCCAATTTGCTTGCAAAGTCTGTTACCTTCCCCACTTCCTCCCCGAAGTCTTTTTTGTATTTGTTAGCTTTAAATGAAATACGTACTTTTAGCTATGAGAATTATTAATCTTAATTCACACACACACACACCAACATCCCGCACACACATACACACACACAATTAGTCTTTAGTTACAACTAAAATATGGTTTAACATAACTTGACTGCTCTTTGGCATAAACTGTTTGCAAAACTTTAATTGGCCGATAATAACTGTTACATAAATGTTAAATATATATATAAATATTAGTATACTTGTTAATTTTAATTATTATTGCTTCTTATCTTTTCCATTATTTGTATTATCCCACACAGAGTTCTGTTCTCATCTATCCTAAGGCCAACTAAAATATGCAAATCATGTTGTATGAGAAGATTTTATAAATAACAAAATAAAGTAAGAATGTGTTAAAAAAATCAATGACTTTATTATGAAATATTGTAGAAGAAGAATATAGGTTATACAGGTCTCCCTAAAGATATTAGAATTATTTGTGTTTGGCCCGGTCTCTGATGTATTATTGTTATATATGAACATTATTACGTTAGGATCTAATATAATATGATAATTGCTATATTATATAGGGCTTGTAGGAACTATCAGATCCTTTATGTGTGCTAGGAAACGCATTTTCTTTAGATGGGGCATGTCATGGAATTCCCAGCTAACGCATGCGCAGCTGTGGTGAGGGTTCGCCTGTTCTTGTGCGTCACCTTGGCAACGTTAGGGCCAAACAAACAAAAAGACAGACAAAAACAGTCGTTCGAGAAAAACAACTTTGAATTATTATTATCTGAAGCACTTGTGACCATGTCGGAGCCGGAGCTGGATGCAGCTGTTATTAAGGCCACACAGCAAAGCCTGGGCAAGTGGATCAAGAAGCCGCCGCTGACAGAGAAGCTGCTGAGGAAGCCTCCATTCCGCTACCTCATGGACATCTTCACAGCGGTAAGACTTTAGCCATGGAACTCGTTCAATTAAGCTCTGCTTAGTTTATTAGGGAAACGGGCTGCCTTGAGGGTCTCTATACGCCGGAGGAGCAGCTCTTCGAGAACATCAATGATCGGTAAGGCATCCTTATCAGAACGAGGCTAAACTGAGACTAACTAAATCGATTTGAACAGCAATGATAAAATGCGGTTTCTGCAAAAGATGATCGATGCCACAAGTGAGTTGGGGAACCCGTATAGACCGTATAGAAAGCCTACCCTAACTAATCCAGAGATTCATTGCAGAGCTTACGACGAAGCAGGATCTCAAGGTGCGCACCTCCAAAATTGTGGCCGGACACGAGCCGAAGCTGACGAATGAGCTGCTACAGGCCATGGCCAGCATAATGGAGCAACGTCTGGAATGGCGTGATGCAGTGCAGCAAGTTTTGGCCAATGAAACCGAAAAGCCGAAGCCAGTGAAGGCAAAGGAAGGCAAGCTCAGCAGCAAGCAAGTCTCCCCAACTGCCAAGGAACAGCCGACGGCCCGCAAGGAGAAGCGCATCTCGCCCCAGGAGCAGAAGCTGCGCAAAGCAACGGATCAGGCGACCCAGGACAAGGAGAAGAAGCCTCAGCGCCGGCACAAGCCCTCGCCGGAAGCGGAAGCCAAGCCCAAGCTGAGCCGACAGAGCCCCAAGCAGAAGACTCCATCCCCTGTAAAGCCCCCAGCAAAAGTTAAACAAGCTTCAACAGACAGCGAAACAAAGTCCATGTCGCCAGCTCCTGCTGCCACAGCTCCGCCCGCTCCGCCCGCTGCACCCGTTACACCTGCAGCAGATGCGCCCGCCCCTGTCAGACTACCCTCGCCTGTCGCCTCACCCAAGCCGACTAGCGCCTCGCAGAGTCCTTCGCCCAAGGCTCAGCAGCTGACGGCTGAGCCCGCAGAGCCGGAAAGCCGCAAATCCTCTGGTAAAAGTCGGCGCTCTAGTGCAAGTCAGCGAGCACCTCCGCCCGAATCGGATGTTGCCCTGGTCAACAACGAGGCTAGCGAGCAGAGCCAGGCCTCCACTGTGCCAATCTCCGACTCGACACATCACAATAACAGCAACAACACCAACAACAGCGAAGTCAAGCGGGAAGGCACCTTTACGCGCGATAACTCGAAAGAATCGAACGGCTCCTTGAATCGCCCTCGCACCTCGCTGCGCCCGCCCAGCGCTCGTCCCGCCTCGGCACGGCCTGGAGCACCACGGCGTCGCAATGTGGAAATTGTGCTGCAGCCGAACGATCAGCTGAAGATGTCGGGCATAAATGTCAAGCTGGAGACCTTTGGGGACTTCGATGACGATGGTGAGAATTTGGTGGTCATCGAGGATGCCAATGCGCATGACATAGACACGGGCACAGCGCAAGCCCCGCCAGATATGGATGCACAGCAGCAGGGCCAGGGCCGTCTGGTTCAGCAGATATTGGACACTCAGAAGGAGCTGGTCGCCGCGCAGGTAAGCGAACCAGGCAAGGAAGACGCACAACAGACGCAGAAGACTCCATCGGCAGGCACGCACCAGAGCTCGGCAAGGCAAGTGAACGATCTACGGGATATCATACAGACCCTCACCAAGTCCGTGAATCCGCTGGGTAAGCTTCTGGACTTCTTGCCTGAGGACATCGATGCCATGCAGCTGGAGCTGACCATGTGGCGGGAGGCCTACACCCAAGCAGCGGCTGAGCTAAAGCGGGAGAGAAGCCTCACGGCCTCCGCAACGGAGCCCATGAAGCAGCAGCTGCTCTCCATTGAGGCCAGCATTGACGAGTACAAGGACCTGGTCGACGAGAGTCGTCAGAAGATTCTGCAGAACAACGAGCGACTGCTCAAAATGCTGATGGAGCAATGATATAATAAATTACAAATGCTTAGGCAGCTTGTGCTTCTTCAGGCTACCCTCGCATAATAGAGTGTACTAGTCTATAAGTCTCTAGAAATGTTATAACTGCAGTACGTCGGGTAAATAAATCTATACTCAAATATCAACCAACTGCCATCAGTTTCTCCCCACACCTTCAAGCTATAACTTTTTCAGATCGAATGTTGACTCAACATAGGATATAGATTGACTCAAATGAGAATGTACATGCATATATTTGTGTATATATATTTAATAGATTGCTTTTAAAAAAATAGTATATAGAAATATCGCATGTAAATTGTAAATAACAGTTCAGTGGGTGGTACATGATAATCGTTCATTATTTAAGGTCACTTAGCGTTCAAACCGAAACCAACATGCTTAAACAAATTAAATAATTTAGGTACTTCCCAGCGGAGGCTATTGTCCTTTTCATGCATAAAGAACTGTATGTCATGCTGCCCGACTGGTGAATACCCTCTACATGTATTTACAAACAGGATGCAGAGTAATGCTAGGCCTTAGCTGCGTCAGCTTCATCCTGTCTATTGTCCGAGTCCGATTTGTCTCCATCATGCTCCTTCTCTTTGCCCTTGTCTGTCTCCTGATCCTGGTCCTGCTCCTGGTCCTGGTCCTCATCGCCTAGCACATACTCAATAACATCGTCGATGGGAAAGTTGTTGAGCAGCGCCTTAATGGAATCATTGTGAATGACCACAGTGAACAGGAGTTTGCAGTATTCACGCATGCGACTGCCGTAGTCCAACTCGGCATAGGCTTCGCTGCCCTTGGCCAGATCGTGTCCACAATTCTCGATGACCTTGCACAACACCGACTCCTCGGAGCTGTTGGGCCAGTCGTACTTCTTGAGTGTCTGCGGATCGACCAGCATATCGATCAGTTTCGCAATGTTCTCCTTCAACTTAATATCCTCCTCACTGAGAACCTCGCCGTTGAACTCATCGTCGCTGGACGGGTCATCCAGATTATCCGCAATTGCAGCGGCCAAGCTAGCGGCCAAGGATTTACGCTGCTCCTTCTTGACAGTCGGCGACACAGCCGACTGTGGCTTCTCCTTGGACTCGGCCTTGACATCGCCGCCTTCAGCCGTCGGTTCGGCTGTGCTGGCCGCACCCTCCAAGGGCAATATGGTGTACACCTCGTTCTCGAGCACAATGGTCTGAGCATTGCCATCGCCCTCATCCACTAAGAACTCACGCACCACGACTCCGTTGTCGTCCGTTTTGCTGGAGATGAGTGACCCAGCGGATGTGTTGGCAGCCGGCGTTTCCTTATCCTGGTCTTTCTCTTCGTTCGCCTCCTCTTCGTCATCGACCAGCACGACGGTCTTTTTGGTAGCTTTGCGCTTGGCAGGGGGCTCTGTGCCGAAAATATCATCCGGATCGCACTCGTGCACATTGCGTATGTGATTACGGAGAGTGTCAGTGCTGTCGAAGTTCTTGTCGCAAATGGCACAGTCCGTGCGCTCGATCACCTTGGCCGAACGTTTAGCCCGAGTCGGCTTAGCAGCTGTATTCCACAATTATTCGAAATCAATAAGCGACAGACATTGCATGAGATATTATCAGGAAACTTACGCGAATGATCGCCAGCGTCCATGTGCTCCTTGAGCAGTGCGCTGGTGCGGAAACTTCGTGTGCATTCCGTGCAGGGAAACGAGGGACGTTTCTGACGCGAGTGTTCCTTGACATGGCGCTCGAGCCTGTGTTAAGAGTATGAGCTTAACTACTGATAAGAGATTGAATAGATTGCGTCTCACTTACTGTTTCTCTGTCTTAAACTTCTGAATGCACAAGGAGCAGGAGTAGGGACGCAGGTGCGTTTTGGAATGCGTGCGCAGCTGTGTGGCCTGTATGAAACTTTTGCCGCACTCGTTGCACTTGTGCGGACGCTCGCCCGTGTGCCGTTTCATGTGGCGATTGAGCACCTCCTTCACCGCAAAGGATTGGCTGCACTGCGAATGCAGAAGGACAATAAGAATTAATCAGGACTCGAAGTACTCCATTTACAACAGCTGCATACCACTGTGCAGGTATAAGGCTTCTCGCCCGTGTGATAGCGACGGTGTTTCTTGAGGGCTACCAAAGCCGAAAACTTCTTGTCGCACAGATCGCAATCGAACGGCTTCTCGCCCGTATGTGTGCGTATGTGAATGCTGGAAGAGTAACAAGGGAATTAGATATTGACGCGAACAGCAGTCCATTCAGGACGACTCACTTGAGCGTAGACAGACTGTAGAAGCAGTTCTTGCACACGTGGCACATGTACTCCGGCTTCTTCACCACCTGGGTGCCCAGATGCTGCTTGAGATGGGCGCGCAAATTATCTAAGCGATAGAAGACACGGTCGCACACCTTGCAGCTCATGGTGTCGTTCTCGTTGGCCGAGCACGAAGAATACTTCTGATGGCGCTTAAGATGATACGAGCGCGTAAAGTCCTTGCCGCAGATCTTGCAGGCGAAGGGCTTGCCCCTGGACTGGTGCTGCTGTTCGTGCAACTTCAGCAGAGCAGAGCTGCGCAGCTTGGCATTGCAAATGGAGCATGGAAAATCGTTGAATTCTGAATGCGTGATGAAAATGTGACGCTCATAGCTCGTCTGCGTTTTGAACGACTTGGGACAGTCGGGACAGTTGATATGGCCCAGCTGGAAAGGGATATCAAATGGCAATTAGGTATAATTTAGACTGGGAATGGAATTGCAGTTACATGAAAGGTATCGTAGCTCTCGCTGCAACAGAAGCAGATGTCTTTCTTCTCCATAACTACGGCGTCGCGCTCAATCTTGTCCAGGTTCTTCAGCATCTCCGCCTTGCGCAGATGGTAGCCACTGTCGTAGCGACAGAACTCCAAATGTTTTTTCAGACTCTTGACGCGACGGAATGTCTTGTAGCACTTGCCGCACACGTGCTCGACCATTTCTTTGAGCTCGTTGTTGTTGTTGCTGTTGCCGCTCTTGCGCTTTGTTCCGCTAGCACCGCCGCCTGGTCCATCCTCATCGTCATCATCATCGTCATCGTCGTCATCATCATCCTCGACACCAGACACCACAAACTCTTCGCCATTCTCTTTGGCGGCATCGCCGAGCTCAACATCGTCGTCGGCCAGTATGAAGTCAATGGTGTCATCATCCTCGACCACCACGACACTTGTCGTGTTGTCCGCTTTGCTGTTCTCGCTCTTGATGGCCTGCAGGACGTAGTGGTCCATCTTCTTCTTCTTGCTGGGCGATGTTTTTATCTTGGCCGTTTCCATTGCTGCGGCAGAGGGGCCAATTCGCTTCTCGTTTAGTATTTTCACACCTGGACTGGCAGCTTTGGGCGTGGCACGCTTCTCACCGGATTTCGAGCTGCCCTGGGCTTCATCGTTGTTGAGTATCTTGATACTGGTGCGCTTCTCCTGCTTGGGTCGAGTGGCCTTTGCGGCCACATCGTTGAGTAGCTTCATTCGTGTGCCAGTTCGCTTCGCCTTCAGCGAAACCATTTTATCCACGTCCATTACTCTGATGACGGGTGTGCTCGCCTCTTTGCTGGTGGCAGGTGCTGCGCCGGCGGCATCTTTGCTGGCGCTCATTGTCGATATCTGTGAAAAGATGCAGGACACCAAGGATCAGTGACGTTGCGTAAGTTAGCCTACTTTCAGGCTCGTGAATTATTTTCGATTGATCACTTTGCCAGAGCGTCACGTCAGCAACGCCTAGAAGCAGCGCACAATAAAAATGGCGGCTAGCCACCGATCGACAGCGAGAGCGAGCGAGAGCACGCTACGTGCTTCGTTACGACAAAAAGAAAAAGAAACGCAACAAGTTCTCTCGCTCTGTGACTGTTTGTGAAAAATATATTTAGGGTTGAAAATAATTCGAATATAAGATTTTGAAATTTGTTGCATACTTTTCAATATTGAATATTTTTATTGCCGGCTTTAAAGGAATCTCGTTTCTACAATAATTTCAACACTACTCAATGCCAATTAGCCGATTTAAATTCGACTTTATTTTACATTTGCGTTACAAAAATACGCATGCACACACAGACACATACACAGCAGTGTAGTTTCTCTAATTAAATGTGAAACTTGCGCCAATGAAAGTCATACGTCGTCTGAAGTCGTCGATCTGATCGACTGTAACGAGATGCAACAGATGTATGGGCAAAACAGTTGGCGAGAGCGAGAGAGATAGCGTAGGTTTGTCATACACTCGTTTTTGTTATTCACACTGACTGAAGACAAAGTGTTTATACTTTTACTTTGCCAAATTCTCAATTAAAAAAAAAAAAAACAAAAACATTTGAATACTTTTGCATCCGCTTATTTATACAATTCACTCACAGTTTACAGCTCGTGCAACGGCACGTAAGCGTACACAATGGCGTTAGCGTCTGACTATTCACAATGTTCGTAGACAGGCAAACAGCTGTGCCGAAATAAGAGTGACCAGATATGATATGAATTTAAAGGCATTTTTCATTTATTTTGCTAGAGGTGCAAGCAAACGAGATATTGTTATAATTTGTAACGTTTGTTTAATTGGTAAACATATTTCAGTTCAGTGATTAAATAAAAATCCACAATATCAATAAATCAACAATGTAACAGTGACTGACTTACGACTTTAAAATATTTTTAAGCGTAAGTATTCGATAACAGTGATATTAGACTTATCGTAAGCTATCGTTATTTTGCCATTACTATTGCTGCTAGCTACACAAAGCGAGGTAAGTTTGTGTAAATATTTAAGAAATACTATCGTAAAATATTTATAATTATTGTAGATATAATGGCTGGCTTATTTGACTCCGCACATACCGAAGGCCCCGGCTTTGTAGGCATACGTTTCTGTCAAGAATGTAACAACATGTTGTATCCTAAAGAAGACAAGGACAACAAAACATTAATGTATGCATGCCGCAATTGCGATTACAAACAGGAAGCCGACTCCAATTGCATATATGTGAACAAGATTATGCACGAAATCGACGAACTGACTCACATTGTGCCCGATGTGATATCCGATCCGACACTGCCGCGCACTGAAGACCACGCATGCCCCAAATGCTCGCATCGCGAAGCCGTTTTCTTCCAGGCGCAAACCCGACGTGCCGAAGAGGAGATGCGACTGTACTATGTGTGCACCAATCAGAACTGCACTCATCGCTGGACGGAATAACAGCGGGAACGGAAATGCCAACTCCGTCTACGACTGCCGACCTTGGCTTTGTTTGCACGCATAGCTCTAAGTTCATAATAAAGTTTATAATTTAAGTATATTTGAGAGCTGTTATTCCTAATGCAACCGCAAATATTTCGCATTCAGATATTGTGATCGAGAGAGCGAGCTAGAAATGAGAGCGGAGTACGCTCTCTCGCATGCAAAACGCTAGGCGCATCACTCATCACAGTGACAGTAATTCCAATATCTGTGTATCAAACCGATATGAACCGAAAACAAAGAATCGGCAATTTAATTAAACAAGTTTCTTGTACGCATTCGAGCCGTTTCTCGAGCTGATCAAACGACAGTTGAACGTTAGAACTTGGCGCGACGTGTTGGCGAGCTTAACATGAGAATCGAAGTAGAAGCGTAAAAAATAGATTTCAAGCATGGCAAAAACAAATGATACAGCGGCGGAGCCGGAACCGGAGACCAAGCTGAATTATATGCAAAAACTATGGCGCTATCGTCGTTACATGGTGATCGAGCCATTCTTCTTCTTCTACTTCATGGCATCCGTATTCAACCAGGTGGCCATGGCCAACTTCCCACTGGAGAAGGCATGCCGTGTCAACCTCGGCTACAACAAAGCCACCTGCATGGCCATGTTGGATAAAGCGGAATTGGGCATCGATTGCGATAGCTATGAGTTCGAAAACACTACCGATGGCGCATCCATGGACCAAACTTTGCTGGACGTCTATTCGACAGGCTTCAATTATACGGTCTGCAAAGCCGAAGTGGAGGCCCAGAAGCTGTCCGCCGATGTTTCGGGAAAACGTGCGCCCATAGGTAAATCTCACACATCTATTTTTACCTTAATGATTTAGCCAATTACGTAGTCAAAGCAAGTGCAACCAGTTTTTCCAGCGATTCGCATAGCTTTATCATATCTTCAGGTTCTGAGCTTTATTATTATTACTTTTATATAAAATCAACATTCATTCGGTAAGCATATACATATACTACGTTTACTGTTTATTTGTATGTACATATAAATATACATATAAGTTTCTATAATGTTAGGCAGTCCCCATTCAGAATTTAATACGAATTTGATTTCTCACAAATGCTTGGCATTCTTTTCGCTTACATAATTTATTATCGTACACCTAAATTTTAAACTCCGCGCTTAACTATTCTCATTAAAAACCGGTTCGTTACACATTTTAGTTTCTATTTATTTTTGTTCTTTATACGTTTTTGGCAATTTTTTTATTTTTAGCCTTAACGTGTCTGTCATTGTCATTGCCAATGCCTCAGAAATTGTTATTAGAAATTGACAGTTATTTTTGTATAAAGTCATTTGATTAAATGACAATAAAACATTTATTGACAACTATTGCATCAGCTATGCAGCAGAAAAATAGAAATTAAATTGCCTTAGGCATTGTGCAGCTATTAAATTCCAATTCGATTCGCATTTCTGTCTCTGAGTAGACATTTGTATGAGAAGAAGAAGACTGTACTAAAGTGGTCCATCGGGTACTTACATATGATTGATTGCACGAGTCAACAGAATGTCCATTGATTTCGTGATGAAATATGTAAAGTATAAACGTGTAATCATCTACGATACTATGATCATCATCTGAGTTAGTATGGTATATCATAACGGCTTATTAGTTAGCATAGAATGCATATGCATGTACGTTTATATGAACGTACAAATAAATAAATATATATATACATATATATGATATAAAGAATAATCATACCATATTCTATCTATCCTTCAGCTGCCATATTTCCATTGATTGTGCTGCTCTTCGCCGGAGGATGGGCGGATCGATACAACAAGCGCAAACCATGCATGATTATACCCATCGTGGGTGAAGCTTTAATGTTCACCTGTAAGTGGGCCATTGGACTCGATTATGAGCAGATTAGATTTATATGAACTACTTTGTAGGTCTCCTAATTTCGGCCATTTTCTTCGATAGTCTGCCCATGGAGTTCGGAATGTATTTGGAGGCGATTGTGCCCGCGGTATGTGGCGGTCTGACCTTCTGTTTGATGGCGATCTATAGCTATATGACGATTTCCACACCCGAAGAGGATCGCATCTTTCGGTTTGGCATCTTTGCTATGTTTTTAACCGGAGCTCCTCTTCTTGGGGCCTTCAGTGGATATCTCTTCAACACATTTGGCTACATAAGTGGGTTGGATAAATTATCTTCCAGAGTCATCATTTCATTAGTTTCTTTTTTTTAGTTTCGTTTGCTTCCGCCGTTGTCTTTCAAATTATTGCCATACTCTATATCGTGTTCTTCATCAAGGAGATCAAGCCAAAGCCCAAGACATCCGAGAAAGCGCCGGCTAACCCGGTGGAGGATCATGCTGCTGATAATATGGCCTATGAGCAAACCACCTTGGATGAGCCGCCCGTTAGCAAGAATGTTAACTTTCAATTGACGCCACATCTGGAGCCACCCAAAGTGGAGCCACCGCCTGTGCCTGTGAAACGTTCTTTGTTGAAGGAACTCTTTGATCCCACCCTGGTAGTGGACTGCCTACGATTTCCGTTGATCAAGCGCAAGAATAACGGACGCCTTCTACTACTTCTGCTGATTCTGGCCTATTTTCTTACTATTGGCCCAAGCTCGGCTGAGAATGACTATTGGTATCGCTTCACCCTGAGGAAGTTGAATTGGAATGGCAATGACTTCTCCATTTTTTTGACCTTATCCGGGCTGGCGGCTCTATTGGGTACTTTCATAGGCACTGCCATTCTTAGCAAGTTGCTCAAGTTCTCGGATCCCTCCATTGGAACTCTCTCCGCCCTGGCCATTGTCTGTTCGCGTGTGATGTTTGTATGTACACCTAGAATTGGTTTAACTGGAATCATATCAAAATTTTATTTCTTCAGGCTCTTGCCACTGACACCACGTCGTTCTATGTGGCCTGCGTCGTGGACATGTTTGTCAGTCTACGAGTCATTGCCATCAAAACCATTGGCAGTAGCATTGTGGAGGGAGATGAGCTAAGTGAGTTCTCAATCAATGGACTTTATGTGGTTAAATTACCCTTATTATATTCTGCTTTTCAGGCAAAATGTATTCCATCTTTGGCATCAGCGAACCGATTGGCCAATTCATATTTCCACCCATTTACAGTCTGATCTACCAAAACACAGTGGAGTCATTTCCAGGAGCCTTCTTTCTGTTTGGAGAAATCTTTTATGTGCCCAATGTTCTAGTCTTTGTGTAAGTTTTTAAGGAACCTTGGAAATGTTACAAATGTTGTCTGTAATCTGTTATTTTTCCGCAGCCTTTGCTATTTCGTGTTGCGTCATCGGAAGTCCAAAGAACAAAAGAATTCCGTGGAACTGGCCCAAAATAACGAAGGCAATGGCCAGGCGGATGCTGCCAATGGCACAGAGATTACTAGTCTATGAATCACCCTATACGAATCTATATACGCTACCTTTTCCCCATAGACAGACATTGCACAAGTTCTATATATAACTTATATATGAGCCATTTGCTAGATTTGTGGTTTTATTTTGGTTAAGTGAGTTAGGATAGGCTAAGCCCACGTCTTTGCTACCGGGCAAAGGAATTTCTGGGATGTACTTGCAATAAAAATAACTTAGAGAGAGTCTTCAGTTGTTGATAGACTATAAGCTGCCCTGTATAAATTGTATGTACATAAATCATTCAGGGAATTCAATATACGTAAATTTTACCTAATACAACTTGCATACATACATATGTGTATATATACATGTACATTTTATGCTTATGCTCCTATGCTCATTTTCATTTACGGTAACTCAGCATGGATTTCAGTATTTCAGGTATTTGCTTGCAGGCCAGTGCTTGTTGAACTTAATCCGCATAGATTATCATCATAAACCCAACTGACACCAATCGATAATGATCGATAAGTGTAAGGATGATAGTTTGTGAATGACAACTGTGAAGGTTCCATTGTGTTAATCGAACAATATAAAATAGCGTAGTTATACTTCTGCTGACTGTACCCATTACCAATTGCTTACAGGGTATTAGAAAACAGATGCCGTAGCCCTTCCTTCAGTTTGACTTTTACTTCAACTACTGGCTGCTGGCAAGGATTCCAATCAGCAAATGCATTCAATTTGATCAGCCAGCCGAAGTGCTGGTGGGTGGTGGGCGTGGCCCCACTGGGTGCTAAATGCCGTCTTGGCCACGCATGGAAAACAATTGGCAACTAATAATCACAGTTAATCTTCTTCTGCCTCGATAAAAGCTGTCCAAGCACCCAAACCCCCAGCCTCATCGCCTCTGCTGCAGTAGGATTGGTTGTCGTTTCCCCCACGGCTGGCTCTGCTGCTTCGGACGGGCTCTTTTCTAGTGATCGGCTCTTCTGCTCAGCGTTGGCTGGAGGTTGTTGAGGTAGCTTCTGCAGCTCGGCGCTGCGATGTGCTGTTTCCATGTGTGTGTGTGCACACGTAGGCGTTAATTGGATATGTTTCAGATGTGATTCTTCACATGTTAAATGTATATCTAACAAAGTAGTAGGTACATATATATACAATATATCCATTGTGTTAACTACTGAAACAGTTTTAACAAATTCAGGTAAATTTATTAAATTGCGCAATGCAGAAACGGTAATTCCTAATCCGTCTACGATTGCCGACCTTGGCTATACTTACAGTAATTATTGTAATAATTAAATAGTGCTCGAAAATAAAACCGGTGCCCAAATCTTCATCAAGAGAAGGTGGGCGAGCGAGAATGAAAGCAGATTAAACTGTCGTCATCATCATAGTGCCAAAAATTCTAAAATCTATCAGAAACGAAACGAAGAGAAAGAATCGAGCAATTTAACTGAACAAGTTTTTCGCACGTATTTATGAGCCGTTGTTCTGACTGATCAGACGACAGTTCAACCTTAGAGCTTAGTGCAACGTGTTGTCGAGGTTCTCATAAAATATGGAAATAGCACATAAAACTACGGTCGAGCCGGCGCCGGAGCCGGAACCCAAGTTGAATTATCTGCAAAAGATTTGGCGCTATCGTCGTTACATGGTCATCGAGTTATCCTTCTTCTTCTACTTAATGGCAAACATACTCAACGATGTAGCCATTAGGAACCTTCCACTGGAGAAGGCATGTCGCGTCAACCTCGGCTACAACAAAGCCACCTGCATGGCCTTGTTGGATAAAGCGGAATTGGGCATCGATTGCGATAGCTATGAGTTCGAAAACACTAACGATTGCGCCTGGATGGACCAAACTTTGCTGGACGTGGATTTGACGGGACTCAATTATACGGTCTGCGAAGCCGATTGTAAGGTCCAGCAGCTGTTCGCCGATGTTTCGGGAAAGCGTGCGCCCATAGGTAAATATCACACAATTAAATATCGCCAATTAGATAGTCTACGTAAGGGCAACCAGTTTGGCCAGCGATTCGCATAACTTTAATCATAAATTCAGGTTCTACTTTTATACCGAGAGCAGGGTATAATATCTTTGTTAGATTGTAGGAAATCATGTCTGAATGTATGACTGTGTGTGTGCATGTATGAAACAGACCCCATGAAATATTTCCATTCGTGATCAGGGCGACAAGTAGAGGCATATCAAGTTTCAAATCTAAACTAAACCTTTTCTTAATGTACTTCCAGAGATGTATTGAGTTCTCATTCTTATCTATCCCTTAGCCGCCATATTTACATTGATTATCATGCTTTTCGCCGGAGGCTGGGCGGACAAATTCAACAAGCGCAAACCATGCATGGTTATACCCATCGTGGGCGAAGCTGTATCATTTATCTGTAAGTGCTCCATGAAACTCATTGATATGCAGTTTAGATTAATGTGAAGTACTTTGCAGGTCTAATCATTTCGGCGATATTCTTCGATAGTCTGCCCATGGAGTTCGGAATGTACTTGGAGGCGATTGTGCCCGCGGTCTGTGGCGGTCAGACACTTTGTGTAATGGCGATGTATAGCTATATGACGATAGCCACGCCAGAGGAAGATCGCGTCTCCCGGTTTGGCATCTTTATAATGTTTTTAAACGGACTTCCTTTACTGGGAGTCTTCAGTGGATATCTTCTCAACATACTTGGCTACATAAGTGGGTTAATAAATTATCCTCCATAATCTTAATTTTTAAAAGTTCCATTGTTCATTGTTTTAGCTTCGTTTGCCTCTGCCGTAGTCTTCAAAATTATTGCCATTCTCTGTATAATGCTATTCCTTAAGGAGATCAAGCCAAAGCCCACAACATCCGAGGAAACGCCAGATAACCAGCTTAAGGGTCATGCTGCTGATAATATGGCCTATGAGCAAACCGCCTTGGATGAGCTGCCCGTTAGCAAGAATGTTAACTTCCAATTGACGCCACGTCTGGAGCCACCCAAAGTGGAGCCTCCGCCTGTGCCTGCAGTGAAACCTTCGTTGCTGAAGGAACTTTTTGATCCCACCCTGGCGAAGGAATGCCTACGATTTCCGTTTATCAAGCGCAAGAATCACGGACGCCTTATACTGAATCTGCTTGTTCTGGCGACTTTCCTAATCGTGGGCCCCTCCTTTGCTGAAAGTGACTTTGTGTATCCCTTCACTATAAAAAAGTTGAATTGGAATGGTACTGTGCTTTCTGTTTTTAATACAATCAACGGACTTCTGGGCATATTGGGTACTTACATAGGGACTGCCATCCTTAGCAAACGGCTCAAGTTCTCGGATGCCTCCCTTGCCATATTCTCCTCTCTGGCCATAGTCTGTTCGCGTCCGATACTTGTAAGTGAACATGAAAATGGAAATAAATATATTCTTGTGAAAATCTAATCTAATCTAATATCTCAGGCCTTTGCGAATAATACGACGTGGTTCTATGTGGGCTGTGCTGTGGACATGTTTGCCCTTCTGCGAGTCATTGCCACCAAAACCATCAGCAGTAGAATTGTGGAGGGAGATGAGCTAAGTGAGTTCTCAATCAATGGACTTTATGTGGTTAAATTACCCTTATTATATTCTGCTTTTCAGGCAAAATGTATTCCATCTTTGGCATCATCGAACCAATTACCCAATTCATGTTTCCACCCATTTATAGTATGATATACCAAAATACAGTGGAGTCATTTCCAGGCGCCTTCTTTCTGTTTGGCGAAATCTTTTATGTGCCCAATGTTCTAGTCTTTGTGTAAGTTTTTAAGGAACCTTGGAAATGTTACAAATGTCTGTAATTTGTTATTTTTCCGCAGCCTTTGCTATTTCGTGTTGCGTCATCGGAAGTCCAAAGAACAAAAGAATTCCGTGGAACTCGCCCAAAATAAGGAAGCCAATGGCCAGGCGGATGCTGCCAATGGCACAGAGATTACTAGTCTATGAGCCAATTAGAATATCCCTATATGAATCTATATATGAATCTGCATACGCTATGTATATAACTGTATATATACGCCATTCGCTTACGATTTGTGGTTTTATTTGGGTTGTGCTTTTTTTTTTTTGCAATAGCTAATCTCAGTTAATCAACAATCTGTCGCGATACAAGCTGGCCAAGTACTGACTGGACTGGTAATGAGGTCGCTCTTTATAGTACCATCCAATCGGTGGGAGTTCTCTTGGCCACTATAATAGGTACGACTTTCTTAAGCATTGAGCATTCAAACCATGGTCTTCTTATGCTTACACTGTCCATATTAGGCAAATTGTATTCCATCTTTGGAATCATCGATTCCATCACCAAATTCATATTTCTTCCCATTTACAGTCGGATCTATAATGAAACTCAGGACACATTTCCAAGCGCCTGCTTTCTGTTTGGCGAAATTTTCTACGTGCCCAACGTTCTGGTCTTTGTGTAAGTTTTCAAATCATGATATAAATATCTGTCTAGAATCTGATTTCTTCTTGCAGCTTTTGTTATTTCATGTTGCGCCGTCGAAGTCCAAAGAGCAAAAGAAATCCGTGGAACTAGCCCAAAATAACGAAGGCAATGGCCAGGCGAATGCTGCCAATGGCGCAGAGATTACTAGTCTATAAGCCAATTAGAATCACCGTATACGAATCTACATACGCTACCTTTTCCCCATAGACAGACATTGCACAAGTTCTATATATAACTTATATATGAGCCATTTGCTAGATTTGTGGTTTTATTTTGGTTAAGTGAGTTAGGTTAAGCTAAGCCCACGTCTTTGCTGCCGGGCAAAGGAATTACTGGCCATGTACTTGCAGTAAAAATAACTTAGAGCTTTCAGTTGTTGATAGCGTATAAGCTACCCTGCATACAGAAAGGAGTGTATACATAAATTGATAAAAATGCTTTAAGGAAATCGATTAAATGCTCTCGTTCACGTTTAGTATGGTTTGTATATAGGAGATATTTGCGCGTAGGGCCCTCCGGACGATTGATGATCGTTGGACTTATCCGATCTAATAGCTAACCATTCATATTCCGCATAAATCATTTTCATACAATGGATTAAATTTGGAAATTTACTGTTAGCCCAATTAATTTGTAAGTTCCATCTGTGAAGGATTCATTCCACTGACTGTTGAAACAAACTACCCTGACTTTACCCATTATCAAATGCAGGGTACTAGAAAACAGATGCCGTAACCCTTCCTTCACTTTGACTTTTACTTCAACTACTGGCTGCTGGCAAGGATTCCAATCAGCAAATGCATTCAATTTGATCAGCCAGCCGAAGTGCTGGTTGGTGGTGGGCGTGGCCCCACTGGGTGCTAAATGCCGCCTTGGCCACGCATGGAAAACAATTGGCAACTAATAATCACAGTTAATCTTCTTTTGCCCCAACCTCTGACCCCCAACCTCTTCGCCCCCCCTACGTTGTCGAATTTGGTAGCCACTTTTATTGCCATGAATGGGGTTTTCAGGAATCTGCTTCCTTGGCTATAAAAGCTGTTGTGTGAGCCACGAGAGCTCAGACGTTGCCTCAGCCTCGTTGCGCGTGGTTTGGCCAGATTCATCTTCGGAATTGCAGGCAAGACTGAAAGGTCCACTGAGAGGGCTTACACTCGTTAAATCTTTAATCTGAGCTAAAAATTATCAATCTGTGAATTAGTCAGAAAACAAATATTTTGATATTGATTAATTTCGTTAATTTTGTCAGCTTTAGAACCAGCTTCAATCATGCTGCGCTTGCTGCTGTTGCCGCTGTTTCTCTTCACCCTCTCAATGGTCTGCATGGGTCAGACTTTCCAATATTCCCGCGGTTGGACCAATGGAAAACGGGCCACTCCCTCGGCTCTGCTGAACACTGGCCATAATCTGGGACTGTTGGATGCATTTGAAATGCAAGAGAAGCCCAGCGATATCAAACTGGAACGGTAACTGATTGCGTGATTGACTTTGATTGATCTTTTTATTGGTTGTTTTTCTCCATCTTCTTGACTAGTTGCTTGATGCAGCTGCAGCACTTGGCGGGTAACGCCCTGCTGCATCACTCCTTTGCCAATGGATTGGCCTACAATGGGAATAGACCCGATCCGACAGATCTCAACATTCATGCCAGACCCAGACCCAGTGCCAACAACAACGACAACAATTTATTGTATCCCAGAGACAATCAGCATCAATCAAACGAGCTGTACGAAACGGTGGCTGATCCAGTGGAGCCAGTCGACTTTGGAAAGCATTGAGTGATGAAATTAGTTGGAAAACACAATCTACTGATGAATTATTATGACTAGCATTATTATTATTATTATTAGCATCATTATTATTATTATTATTGCTGTTAGCAAAAAGTGCTACAAAAATATATTAACTGTATCAAATGGTACAAAATACCGTTATTGCGTTCAGATTTTCCTTTTGAAGTATGGAAATGGAAATGGATAAACTAACTAGTATACCAAAACAGCCGACAAAAGGTACAAGTGGGCTAGTATTTCCATCAAGTATTTCCTCTGAGTACTTCCTTTAAGTATTTCGTCTATTTCCTCTTAGTATTGATTCCAAGTATTTCTCTTAAAAGTGTTCTCTAAGTATTTCCTTTAAGGATTTCCTCCAAGTATTTCCTCAAAGTCTGCAGAATCACACACTTCACTTTCCACTGCAACTGCTGACCTTTATATATGGCGACCTTCATTCAAAGTCTAGGTTGCGCTCAAATGTTGAGCCCATCGCTAGGTAGGGCTCGTTTCAGCCGACCAATGGGACACTTTTTGCTGCTTCAAGCATTACAGCTTCATTTTAGTTAAATCGGATTACCTCAGTGCGCTCAAAAAAAAAAAAAATACATATATGCTTACTTATCAAAAGTGCACCCACACATTTAAGATTAATAACAGATGGTGAATATTTCCGTAAAATGACGAGTTCTGTTAACCAAGGCTCTGCATATCCGAACAAAATATGGAAGTAACACATAAAACTAAGGACGAGCCGGAGCCCAAGCTGAATATATGCAAAGGCTTTGGCATTATCGTCGATATTTGGTGATAGAGTCATTCTTCTTCTTCTACTTAATGGCAGCCGTACTCAACCATGTAGCCCTAAGAAACTTCCCACTGTCAAGTCTCTAGCTCTTATATCTCCTGAGATCGACGCGTTCCTAAATATGGACGGACCTATGAAAAAAAATTTCAAGTCTCTAGCTCATATATCTTCTGAGATCGACGCGCTCATACATACGGACGGACGGACGTACAGACAGACGGACAGAGCCAAATCGACTCAGCTCGTCACCCTGATCAAGAATATATATACTTTATGGGGTCTGCCACGCCTTCTTCTGCCTGTTAAATACATTTCAACAAAACCATTATATCCTGATTTCCCATTGAAAATGGGTTCAGGGTATAATGAATACTATCAGCTATATAATATCATACCGAATACTGTTATTGCTCCTAAAATCTCTTTTTATTTATTTAATTTAAATAAAACACACTGAAATCAAATTTTACAGACTTTTTTTTCACTGTGTACCATAAATCATCTTCACTAACTTAATAGCTTTATTTATCTAAATGAGTTGAAGAATGCCTTGGCCAGCTAGAATACAGAAAGCGGCTCATAACTAGATTTTCATCAACTCGAATCCCATATGGAATTCTGAAACCGCTGGGTTTCTGCCTTTGCTAGGTTGATGTCTGTGCTTACATATGTATGTGTACTTACGCATATGCGCGGCGCCACCTGTGGTTGGTGTTTGAAGCCAACATGGGAAACCCGTTTTGATGCCATTTCCAACGGCTATGTGAGCAAGTTAATTAACCGTTGATATTGGCATAACTTTTGTGTTGCGCCATTTTGTTCAATTGAACGAATCGTTCAATGAACTATTACAGTGTGGGATGGAGAACACTGAGCTAACGCCACATATACACAAATACAAACAATGGGGTTCTTGAAAGTACAGTTTAATTCAGAAATAATTGCTTTTTTGCACTCTATTTTAATCAATGAATATCTATTCAAAATCTATGACTATCCATAGTATAATATACTGAATGAGTCAACTAAGTCAAATGCTTAGACAGCTCATTATGGAACTAGAAGTGGCTTTCAATAAATAATACCGCTGGAAGTCTAATCTGCGAGTTCTTAGCATTATCATCAATCAAATTACCCCAGATGGGGCTACAGATGAGGCTCACCCGTTTGAGCGGTTGGAGTCAACCGATTATGATGCACATTAAATCGAAACGGGTTGAAAAATCGATGCGAAGCTAAATTGTTGTTGCTGTAAAAGTCGAGGCGAAAATAAGAAAAATCTTATAAAATTTCATTCAATATTTATAAAATGAAAGCAGAAATCAAATCATTTTTATTCGTTGGCGTAGAAGATATGTGCGGGGATATAATTGCTCCTTAACGACAAATGCTGAACGCACTTCGATGCGAAATGCATGTCGAGGCACGTGATAATGTCCTGAGCGCTACGTCCTGAGTCCAGAGTCCTGACGAGAAACAGCCGCCATCAGACTTGAAGCGGGGTTGACGCCAAGCCAGAGCAGCAGAAGGCAAAAGAAAAGAAATAGTGAGCAGCAGCTTCTTGCTGTTAATTACTTTAAGTGGTCTGGACATGGCAGCGAGGTCGCACTGTGCCTGTACTGCACCTGTAGCAGCGACTGAGCTGCCAGAATCAAACGGGCTGCCATAAAGCTGAGCTGGCTCATCATTCACGCAATCCCTTCCCAAAGAGAGAGAGAGAGAGATATATATGACAGAGCGAGCCATGGAAAACGATGTTTTCAAATTGAATTCCTAACAAGCTAATCGATCCTCGGGGAGGGCAGGAGGCGCATGAGCAAGGACACACAACAGTGCCAGAGAGAGGGGAGAGGGAGAGCGGACACGCTTCGCACGCATCACCCCCGGCTGCTCGGGGAATATGAATTTATATCTTTTAATCTGCGACAGGCTGCAGCTGAATCGAGTGCCGGCAAAAAAAAAAAAAAAAAAAAAAAAAAACAAAATACAGAAGTGAAATTAAGGACGCAGGACATATTTCAACAATGCAACAGCAGCAGCAGCAGCAGCAGCGGCGATGCTGCGCTGTTTATTGTCAATGTCAAGTGGACCTTTGGGGTGGTGTCAAGTGACCCACCATGGCACCACCATGGCACGCCCTCCCAGGGGCTTCACTTGTAATTGCATTAAAATGCAATTGGATTTGCCTTTCGCCCGCTCCCTCCTGTCGTCCTTTGGTCCTGTCGTCATCGACTGTCGTCTGTTCCTGGCATCTAGGGGCCTGGCTCGCAGCTAGGCGCCAGTCGGAGCTGCGTAAACTGTATTGAAAGCTGATTTTAACGCCCTTTCATTGGCAGCTCAAGTGAGCAGTCGGGCAGCATGAGATGTCCTGGTCGAGCTGCCGACAAGGACATCAAATTGATTGTAGCACCTGCAAACTGAGTGGTCAGAAAGTGTCTCTTAAGCACAACTGAAGTGAAGCTTGAAAAGCATTTCCGTTCAGTTTTCCTTTCAAATGAGATTCAATTTGTCAATTGATTGAAGTGCAGTAAAAGTCGAATTCTTTAATCAATTTTTACACAATTTGTACATCGATCAGTCAATCAATCAATTGAAATTATTATCATTGCGTTACAATTATTAGTCATCAGTCAATAGTAGTAGTAGTAGTCAATCAGTCCATGCATTAAT